TAGGTTGTCGTCGAATTTTCTTCCAATTGCTAATGATTAATTTGCGTTTCTCATTTCAGTTACCTAACCACTACCAGATATAATTTAGTCTATCTATGTGGAAAAAAATATGTAATACTAACATTTCTTGAAGTCTTGTCTTGTTATTTTACGTATTTCAATAGACTTTAGTCGAACAAAGCGATTTCAATTTTCATGCTTGAAAATATTAATCTACTCAATGATACGAACGTGTTATAAAGTTCATGTTGTTTGTATTTGTAATTGGTATATTCACCTATTCAATCTACTCTCCAGATTAAGGGTCACGTAGAATTTGATCACCGCAAATGTGCTATCTCAAACGTCTATGGAATTATTCTAACAAAAAATTCTTAGTCAAATCAATAGTGCTGTGTTTTATCCTCAGGCAAACACATGCACCCAGCCTACAACGGAATCAGAAATCAGCCAAATTTTGTTAAAATAGGAGTATGACTTGAGAGATAATAAAGTGTGAGTTACTAATGGGATTTGTAATATTTAGGATTTAAATCAACTCTGCGATGTTAAAAAATTAATTGCGGATCTGAGATGAGAATTCCGTATGTGTGGTCGTTTTCTCAATACGCAATCGGATGCATCGTCTAAATTGTGCGGGACCACTTTTCACTTTGATAAAATACGCTCTATAACGTATTTAGCCAATCTTTAACTGAGTTGAACTAATAACCCTCAGTTCAAAGTTTTACATTTTATCAGCCAGTGATAGTTTCAATCACTGTCAGCAACAGGCTGGTTATAATAAAAGGCACGTTTCTCTTATACTTCTTCTCACTCATTGTATAGCTCACGTGCTTGAAAAAAGAAGGTCGTTCGCTGCTTTTATTTTAGTTCCTTTATTTGTCAGAGGTTCTTGTTAATTATGTTTTTTGGTCCAACTAAAGGTATTTATGAATTTTTACCAGTTAATTCCTTAATTCAGGTATTTTGCTGTGTTCCGTCGCCTGTTACGTCATTTCAAGTTGACCAGGTTCGGGGCGAAAAGTGATGCGAAAGACTTATTGGGCAATATGGATATAGTGATAGACGCTGATCATCCTTGAAAACCCGGGCCACCATTACACCGTTTAAGTAGTGTTTCTTTAGTTTAATAATGAAGATCTGCATTCTTGGTTCACCGAATATATTGTCATAAGTTCTACAAAATCTAAATCACTGTTAAATATTTTGTCATCTCTAACAAAACAATGCAATGGAACTGATTTCGATGAAAGTTGGAATGAAGTCGAGCAAAATAAATTGACTAGAATTAAAAAAATAAAGATGAAAATTAATTCTTATGTTTGATGTTCTTAAAGTAATAGCAATCCGGTTTACCATCTTATTAGCAGTTTCAAAGATCAATATAAGTTCTACTTACGTGCTGCCAGGTGTTGGTGATGAAATTTAGCCTCTTGCTTAGTGACATGAGTGAATGCTTATGTACAACAATAATGTTCGTTTTTACAACGGAATATTTCAACTACATCTTTTCATAAATTGGTTTATCATCTTCTAATTATTATAGTACTCAACAGTGCTTAACTACTCATTATTTACTGAAATAAACTAAAAAAGACTCTAGCACCAACAACTAAAAGCACTTTTGAGGCCATTCAAGCCTTAGGTTCTCAAGCAAGTACTCAAAAAGCTAACTCTGGACTCAAACACTCCCGTCGAACATTAAATGATGTTATAATAAGACTTTATGCGATAAAATCGCTTTAGACACTTCCTAGATGTCATACATGAAGGATTCCAATGTTTGTTCGAACAGTCTCAAGATGTGGCGGTGCTACTAAAATCATGAAGAACAATTATGATCGTGATTGCAGAAACCTCTCGGTCAACTGGCGAACAAGATTCACTCCTCTTAGAGTAGCCATAATTGGATTTTATTAGCTACTCTTTGCGCAAATGATCAAAAGGCTCCGAATATACCGTTTTTTTGCGATACCTTCGAGGACACTTAACAAAATTAGAGGGGACAATTTAATGCTAGGTGAAACGAATAAAACATGTCTATTTACGAATATAATAAGAGCACATTTTCATTAATACAAATAATAATAAAATAAATTTTAGGTTTGGCAAATGTGACTATCATTTCAGGGGGAAATTAATTGAATTTATTGCAGATTGGCACACTAGTAAAGCCTTGACCGACTCAGAAATCTCTGTGGCAAAATCTCCCATGTCTGGCTAGACTCCCAGGACTATCTAAGCTACAGCCCAACTATAGATGAAACAGATGTATGATACGAAACACGTGTATTTTGGGAAGCGTATCGTGATGAAAGTGTTAGTCATAATCAACATTGCGGATTTGATAAAGAAACCAAAATCTTTTGATTGACCACTGAGGGTGTGAGTAATTGCTTGATGAGCCACCTTGGGTTTTTAAATGAATGAGCGATTGCGTGTACCAGAGATCGTATTTCACTCGTTCTAATTTTGATCGAAAGTCCACTTTCATAATGCTATTACGATGTGGTTTTAGAACATTCCATCTACTTCTTCATATTCGAAGGCCTTACCTAGGTCACTGGCCAACAATGTGAACTAGAAAGAAATGACGACCAACGTCTCATTTACTTTAAATTAAACCAAATTTCAAGAAAACGTTTAGTAACGCAATAGTCTCTACGTGCAATTATCTAGAGAGTACACATCCCATTCAGAACAGATTTTGAGAAATGCAGAGGCAAACAATCTTGCTTAAAATGCGATCAATTGAAATCAATGACTGATTGTTAATTAATGTCTATTCTGATATGGACATGGAATGCCTAAATACTGTTGCCGTTCTATCAAAAAGGTGCCCGTTCTGCAAAATGAAGAAAAACAAATTATTTGAATTGTCTCAAAAGCATTTTTCTGTTTTGCTGTTTTCGTCGATCATCAACTGCAAAAATTTATTTTTCTTAGATTTTCTTTAACAATTCTTTTAACATCTCTTTAATTTTCATCCTAAATCGCAGAAAACTCTTTTGCTCAGCTAATGATTTCCACAACACAAGTTAATTTGCAATTGTTAATAGTTAAGAATGAACTTGGGAATTTTTTCCTTGCTTGCCTTATTACTTATTGGAAGCCTAGCTATCTCATTGAATGCAAAGTCTGACAAGATTACAATTTAAATCAACAGCTCATCCTGTCGTGAATGAGCCTTATCTAGATTAATTGCTGGAGGGAAAGGTATGGAATTGCATTTATCGATCTAACCGAGAAAGAAGTAGAAATTTACACTATCTATTTTGCATCATGTTATTGTTCTTCTGCAAGTTAATTCTTTGACTTTTAAAAAAATCAGAACAATATGGCTCCATGCAGGTCTCTCATTTTGCGACCCCAATATGACATATGTAGTCAGTTGACTATCACCTTAGTTGGAGTAAATAATGAGAACAATATAGTCTCTACATGATCGGGCGTAACTCATTTTGATTAAATCTGTTTCATGGGCTTATGTCATATCTCAATTGAAATTATTTCGATTCCAACAATTTTTCATCTTGTAACGTCATAAATTGCCTCGCAAAAGGTGTGTCTGTGAGGATTTAATTCAATGAAAGAGTAAGGACCACAGTATCACTCTCTTTGTTATGATTCGTTGAAGTTGATCCGAAGTGGACTGGGTGGTTATTCTTTGCAAAAAAAACGAAAATGCGTCATTAAGCATCTTCTGTATGTTTACTAAATGCTTTTGATAGTAGAAGTGCTAAATATTAAATTGGGGAAAAATTAGACCAGCATTTGTACACTAAAAGAGAATATCGAGTCTAAATCAAACCGACTTCTAAACGTAACCCAACCAGGCATTAATCCAACCTATGATTATTTTATTTATTTATTTAGACTTTACTCAGTCTTCCTGGTGGTTAAACATACAACCAATCACATAAATAATGCAGCCTATGCTCTCCATCAGAAATTTGTTTCATAAAAAATGAAAAAATTAAGACATTAACGTGTGGTAATTAGTCAAGTAATAATAGAATATTCTGCCCATTGAGGAATCTGTTAAATAATTACGATTTTTCATAAAAAAGTGGATAAATTATGATTGTAACATGTGTTAATGATTCAAGCAATGATAGAATAAACTGTCAGGAGTCACTCTATTTTAAGGATAACTTTAAATTTTTTAAATAGGATTAGCAGTGTCTTTAAAGTGCAAACGTAGTAATTTCAACACAACGAATGAAAACCGAGAGGGGTGTTGGCACGAATAGGATTTGAGAATGATTCAAATTGCATCACGCTCTACTCCTCTGTTCAAATCAGAGTACACCACTTGTCTCTTCTTCAACGATGGAGCGATATGCACTTTCAGCTCTCTGTCTTGGTCTCTTCCTACTGATCCATCAATCCCAATGTACAAATAAAGTCATCTTCATATCCTTTGACGGATTCCGTCATGACTATCTTGATATGGCCAAAGCGAAGGGCATAAACATCTCGGCATTTGAAGAAATACGATCGCAAGGATTTCAGGCCATAGTTAACAATGTCATGACAACTCTAACCTTCCCATCACACTTCTCCATGGCTACGGGTAGGAATGTTGAAAACCACGGTCTTGTTGGGAATAAATTCTACGATCCCGAAACAGCCAAAAAATACGCTTATACAAATAGCAACAATAATGTTGAACCTGAGTGGTTTGAATATGCTGGCTCGGAAGCACTTTGGGCAACGAATGAGAGACATGGCTACCGGAGTGCTGTTTTTTCATGGGTAGGAAGTGAGGCTAGGATTAACAATAAATT